ACCAGATTCTGTAGTTTCTTCGTACTGTTCAGTTTCATCATTTTCTATGTTTTCATTACCAGATTCTGTAGTTTCTTCGTACTGTTCAGTTTCATAATTTTCTACGTTTTTATTACCAGTTTCTGTAGTTTCTTCATATTGTTCAGTTGTATTATTTTCTATGTTCCTTTTACCAGATTCTGTAGTTACTTTATAATTTTTGTTTGCACGTCGTTTTACCACCTTACAAGGATTGAATTTCGAATTGTCGTTGAAATTTCTGATCACTCTACATTTACAATCCTTCGAATTAGCTTCATCCTCATCGATCATTTCTTTCTCCAGTATCGTATCCATGTTTGTTACCTTCCTCTTCGATCTTTCAGCTTGTTTCGAATCGATATAAGTCGGAATGTTCATTGGCACACCGATCGATTTGGAATAATGTAAAACATCAAGATCCGTCATCTTGTCTTCCTCGATAGTAGTAGTCATGGCTCTTCTTCTTCTTCTTCTTCTTCTTCTTATTTCAGGCAACGTTAATTTAGTTTTACCTAGGGAAGCCACGAATGAGTCTTCGAGTTTGGATCCTTGAGTCTTTACTCTAAAAGACTCTTCGAGGTTTTCTTGATTGCTTTTGCTTGCTGAAGAGTCTGAATAATAGTTCATTAGCATATTCACGGTATTTTCCTTGATTCGTCTCCCTTCACCGACACCTGAAGCAACGTTTGTGACGGGTTTTGTCTTGCCGTTGTCTTCTTTGTTATTTACTTGATTTATCCAGTGTTTTTGAATATTTTCACCTTGCCAGATGTTCTTATAATAATCATTTGAATTTTCTTTCATATCAACATTCTCTATGCTCGTAGTTTGGTCAATTTCATTCGGCATATAATCACGATAATCATTGTCAACGTTTATCCAAGTATTTTCAGGCTTGGTATGATCGATCGTTACAATTTTATATCCTTTTTCTTCTATTTCTTTTTCCTTCTTCGTATAATCGTAATCCATGTTTTTTCTCGTAGAATCATCAATCTGTAAAAGTACGTCAACGTTCGGCAAATTTTTCATCTTTTCTTCTTCTTTGGTGGAAAATCCATATAAATTATTCTCAGTGTTTTTTCCTTCATTCTTTTTACTCGTCACAATCCAAGATCGTTTGATCCTTCTTCGATCGTATTTTTGATCGGTTTTCAAAAAATCCGAAGAAAATTTGTCGAAATCTTGATTCGATCTACGAATGGATTCGCTCATTGTCGACCTTTTTCTCTCGATTTGTGCCAATTTTCTTGGAAAAACTTTGACAAACTTCTCGTGCAATTTCCTTTCGTCAACGTTTAGTTCTCTTTTCGCTAAACTACGCCATTTCTTATTTTTATTACGCTTAATGGTTTGATCATAATCGATTAATCGTTTTTTTCTCAGTATCTCATTTTCCTTTATCAATGTTTTTACGATAACATTTTCCTTTTCAATTTTGTGATCCATACAGGAACTTATCTGCAATAGTAGAAGATTATTTCGTATTTTATTCGTAAAGATAATTTTTCTGTTTTTTTTTTCTATGAATTACCTTTTGATCGGGAACAACCCAGAATCCAATTCCACCTGACGATAACTCGATACTCAAGCCCTTTTCATTGTTATATATAACTGGTTCCAATAAGGGTAATTCAGTATCTTTAAATAAACTCAATGGTTTTCCATTTAAAAGAACAGTTCTGTTAAAAGCAAGAATACATAAATGCTATTTATATAAAAAGGTAGTATAGTGGTAGTAGTAGTGCTCGAACAAATACATTTTACGATGAATATTAAAATATAATCGTTGTATTAATTGAATTATTTATTATTCGCTCGTTGTGTATTCGATTAATTGTAAGCAATTTTAATGAAATTAATTAAATTGAATAGTCGATTAATTAAATGGGCAAATAAATGAAACGACGTATCATTTAAATAATCGAACGTGTTTATATTAATAGTATTACGATAAAGTTCAACTTACTTAGCGTACATAGGATTTTCCGTATCAAATCCTGGGGTTAAAATGTACTCGTGAAGGTTCTTTATTTTGAAACCCTTAACGTTAGCTCGTATTTTCATTGGCGTTAGATTTATACCAAAGATCGTTAAAGCTCCTCTCTGATAAATAGCCGAAGCTTTCGTACATTGTACGTAAAAGTGAACGTGACTTTCGTTATCCATTTGTATCCTTGTGTCTAAAATTTCTCGACCAACCAGTTTCTTGTGAAGTACAGATACCCAATAATCCTGTAAGAGGTTACTAACTTTACCACTGTAATAACGTCAATAGTAATCGCTTTTGTAAGTTCGCTAACAAAGCGATCAACTTACTGGAGTTGGTTTCGAGAGATCGACTGGTTGTCTCATTAGAACTTCTATACCAAGTTTAGCGGTATTTCCAAGTCTGTTGGTCCAAGCAAGAGCACCGATAAATTGATTCTTCCTTGGCTCTCCTTTAGATTCGGCTATCGTCGAATGAATCAAAGAAAAAAAAATTATCTAATTAATGCTAATTTATTATTTCATCGTGGATTTTATTTGTCGAAATTTTCTTTACCAATCCAAAGCGATTTTTTCGCAACATCTTGTCCTAGAATTTCGTAGAGATTATTCTTATCTGATATCAATTTATCGTTATCCACGAAAACAACACCATCTTCGTTTTCAATAACATTAGTGAAATCTCTGTAAGAATATATTGAGAATTTGTTTTGAACTCAACATTCTATCAATCGAATTTGCAAATGACAATGCTTACGGATGCCACGTGACAGCTGTGAGGGATTCCTCTGTCTCGGTAAAAAATTTCTCCAAATATTCCCGTTGTTCTTCTGTTTGGTAATCGAGCACATCCGGTCCGGTGATGATGCTATTTGAATATCTCGGAATGGCATTCAATTTATTCCGCAAAATTTGAACGTACCTTCCAACGTCGGTACCACTAAAGTTGCATCTCGTTTGGCACTCTGAAAAAGACAATTCCTCGCTTGACAAATTGCCAGCTCGAAATTATCGATCAATGTTCCTATCCTCTCGAACTTACCATATCCCAATTGCCAGCTAGCATTGAAACCCATTCGATCGGTCAAAGAAACGAGATCCACTTGGCTATCATTTGCCATTAATCTTGGCGATATACAGGCCACCACATCGAGTCCGGTCTTTTCAGCCCATTGATTGAGTCGTCTCCAATTATTTTCTACATGTTTTTTTTTTTTTTAATCAAATTTATCTCCGTTAATTAGCGACCAACAACGCATATCATTATTTTATTTTTCCTTTCCTCGTTTTTTTTTTTTCATTTCTCAATTTGAAATTTGTCAAAATTCAACTTGACGAGCAATAGAGAGAAGAGGATTGTGGATTTTTGGTGATAAGTGTGAGTAGTTGGAGCATGCAGGTTCTATCTGTGGCACCCTCGATCACGTCAGTGCGGATGATAGACGCTTGACTAACGAGTGATCGCCAAAGACTAATGACCGTTCCACGCATGTCCAACGAATTCATTGATAAGTCACGTACGTCAGATACGAATATTTCATTTATCTTCATGCACAGAAAGATACTATTTTCTTTTTCATCCTCAAAGAGTTAATTCTTTATTCGTTACTTCTAATTAACAACTTTCTTTCCTATTTCTTCAGTTTGCTAATAATCTTCGTAATTTATTGTCTTTCTTTAATCTTTTAATTTTTATCATTATTTGTAAAAAACATTACGCCTGTAGGAATGCAACCCTCCAGACAGAGTTTGAAAATGCTGCTTGCGAGCGCCATCTACTGGGACGGGATTTTTTTTAAGCCCAAACTGTTTATACACGCTTGTATTACGGGTTGCCTATCTTTCGGGCAGAACAAAAATTCCGAGATGTCGCGAGCAAGAAACATTTTCAAACTGTGTTCTGGAGGGTTGCATATCTACAGGCGCACATTTTTAATAATTATTAAACAAATAATTATAATTATATTATACAATAAATTATTCTACTCCTGACCTCGTAACGTGATTTTTTCAAGTTTTTACTTCTAACTTGTGTAATCTACGCACATGTTTCTTTTTTTCCTTTACCAGTCTAAAATAAATACTTGAAAATTTCTTTCAAATGAATTATTTGCATTACGAGTGCGTGAAAAGGTTAGTGGTACGTTTTGTTTCTCATTTTGATTTGCCCACAGTTCGAATGAAATTTTCGACCATAATTCTACCCACGTTTAGGTTCCCCGAACTCTTGTTTGCTTATCCGAAAGTTAAATAGTTATCAGTTCGAGTTGGCGAGGCAAATTTTAGGGTCTGATTACTGTAACTAGGTCTACTGTTTAAACTTGAACACTGGTTACGTTTAATAATACGTCGATTTTATTCCGCAACGTGTATGTAACCATTCTAATTTTAAATCAAAGTAAGCACAGTTTATTTTTTTTCTGTTCTGTTTCTTGTTTTTTTTTTTTCTATTTTGAGAAGAAAGTATACCTGGAAGTGCAATGATTCAGCATCGTTTGCAACGGAGTCTTGACAATTAAGAGTTATCCCCATAGCGATCGTGAGATTAGAGCGAGAGTTAAGTCGGGTTGGATGGAAATGGTTACGAGCAGAGATATAGTCTAGTCTAGGTAGCTTTCTGTTCTATCTTAAATCCCAAATCGTTCTGCGGATTCACATTCGCAATAATGGAAGATTGAATGACGAAGAAGTGTAACTATTCACTTTGATTTTAATCGTTACAAGTGAAATGTAATTTCAAATTCCTTTTCATTAAGTTCCTATTATAGGTAACCCTTTCATACAGATTTACCGATCAATATGATATCTACAAATAACTTTATTAACTCTTTGAGACACGGTGGGATTACAAGTGTCCCACCTTATTGATACACCGTAATGCACGGTGTATTGCAATAGCTACACATGCTCATAAATTTATATTTCGTCTTATTTACGCAAAACAATTGGTTATTAACTCTTTTTTTTATGTTTTTACATTATTACATTATGTAATACCGTTTATTAATAAAAAAATATACCAATTTTGTTTCATTTAAAACGTAATCAAATTTCTATGAAACACAGGGCTATTTTATTATCTGAAATTCTATGCAGCAAAGAGTTAATCGAAGACTTTTTTCTTAATTTAACGTTAGAAGGATAGAATAATTCAATACTAAGTATCGTGTACTACATTTGAAGATGGTTATAGGAGGTGTTCTTAGGAAATATAATGAAAAATAGTATAAGCGAATTTATATCGCTAACGAGAGAATAGTAAAGCAGAAGAGAAAAGAGCTTAGTAAGTACGAATGGTGGGGTATCGAGTATACGTTGAGTAAGTTTCTCTTCTAGTGAATATAATTAGAATAGACAGACAGTGAGTGTGTTGGAATCAAAGGAAAATCCACCTTTAATTCTCTTTCTCTTTCTCTTTCTCTCTCTATTTCCCTTTTCTCTTTTGAGTAACATATTCGATTCTCGGGATGAAAAGTACAGAAAGCTGCTCGTAGTTTCCTCTTCGTCATGGAATGCACCATTCATGCTTGTGTTTATCGCTTTTCTGAGTCTACGTATGGAGAAGAGCATTGTACATTGTTTTAGCCGGTGAATCCACCTGTAACGGCACATCGCACACGAAATTGCCCGAGGAAGATACATAAACGATCGTGGATTAATATCGGAAGTAGCACGTTGAATGTGATAATTGCAACCGTTTACCATCTACCGTTTATCTTTCCGAATACACACAGAAAGAGAAATTGAGAGATAGAGAGAGATAAAGAGAGATAAAGAGAGATAGAGTGAGAGGATATGGATATTAATATCCCAATGTTTTTTTTCGTGATACTTTGAAGTTAGAAATGACCATGCCACAAATTAGTAGCATTTTATGTTTTTTATTACTCATGCGTAATAAAAAATTGTATATGCAACTAGTTGCATAATATACTATTTTTGATACTTACCTGAAAATAAGTTGTCTGTGTTGTTGCTATCATCGAGTAAATACGAATTACTTTGAGGCCCACCAAGTCGAAGATATGCGGGACTTAAGGCTCTAGCCATTTGAATACTTCTCTCGTAATTCCTACAAAATAGATATTGTTCGAAGAATGCTATTTATATACTAAACAATTTCTTCAATGGTTTTTCTCTTTCGAACAAATATAAAATATCTACGTTAGTTATCTGTCCCTTCCCCCTTTCGAATCGAGTCACGAAATTTCAATCGAAAACGTACACACACGTTCGATTTCATTTTCGAATCCCCCGGTTCAAATTGAATAGCGTTCTCGTTTAAACCTCCACACGACGAGAGAGAGAGAGAGAGAGAGAGAGAGAGATGCTCGCGTTTCATTCCAATTTCGTTGAGATTCTCTCGTTTCTCTGTGCAACCAACATCATCCAAAACGTTGATGCATCGTTATTGCATTTTATCGTTGACGTAAGTTTGAACGTTCTTCTCTCTCTCTCTCTCTCTCTCTTTCAATCGAATTTTTGCCAAAATTTGTCAATTTCAATCGTCGCTAATATTATTCCGCTCTGTTCTTTTTTTTTTTTTTTTACATTGAATTTATTATTCGCGCATGTATCGTTTCGTTCTGTAATAATTTTTGTTTTGTTTTTTATAAAATTTAATTCAACGATGATAACAATGATCATTAATCGTATCACACAATTTTAACGAGTTATATTAAATTTATACTCACGTTGAATCATCGTTGGACTTAAGTATAATTAATGGATCGATTGTAAGGCTTAAAAATTTATCACCGCTCACTGATAATAATTTGTTCGTGTTCACCTGCAACGTTAATTCCTTCAACGTGACTTCTTCACCCGTCACTAATTGTAAAAGTGCTAGGGAAAATATTAAAAAATTAAATTCGCGTTTTTTCATTTTTCTCGTTAGTTTTTTTTTTCTTCTTCTTCTTCTTCTTCTACATAACTGAGAGAACACGCATATATTTTTTTGTTCTATTTAAAAAAAATATTTCTGATACGAGTAAAGAGAACCACCGTGCGAGTAACAAGCCTTAACGCTACGTTTAATTTCGTTACAACTCTTGACGATTTTTTGTCGTTTAATGAGGCTAAATCGCGTGGCATCGACGAATAAATAAATAAATAAATAAATAATAAAAAAAAGAGGCCAAATTTTTCCTGTATTTTTTTTTCTCTTTTTTTTTTTTTTTTAACGTCCAAGGAGAAATTGCTTAGTCGGAATATCCAACGTGTGTAATTTCACAAGAGCCGCGCGTTGTTACTTTACTCGTTCGAATAAATTACTCAACGAAATTGGAATTTCGATCGACTTTGGATATGATTAATCGATACCACGAGCGCGATATATTTGTGCATGCTCAGCAAGAACCTTCGTACGAAGGTCTTTTCTATTTCGTCAGTTAACGCAGTTGCAGTTTCGTTCTCGAAGTATACATTCATTTGACTTTGTTGAATTCCTAACATATTTGTTTACTTGTATCCGAATGAAATTATTTGTAAATTTTTGTTTTTATTTTCTTTTAATTTTGATTGACATGCATAAAGTATTTATTAACTCATTGCGGCATAGAATTTCAGATAATATAGAAATATGCTTAGAGAATGTTGCATAGAGAAATTTGATTACGTTTTAAATTAAACAAAATTGGTATATTTTTTTTATTAATAAAGGCATTATAAATAAATATCAACTTATGAGCATGTTGTAGCTATTGCAATAAACCGTGCATTACGGTGTATCAAAAAAGTGGGACACTTTTAATCCCATCGTGCCCCCAAAAGAGTTAAACGAAGTATATAATTTTATATCTGTAAACATAATAATTAAATTATGGGAATAGGAGAATAAAGAAGTGAGACACTATTCATTTGGTAACATGATTGATTTTTATTACATTTTTTTTGTTCTCATTCTCAGTGGTTAGAACTAAATAACATAAACGCATAATCTTACTTTAATGATTTACTTTATTTTTTTTTATTTTTTTTTATTTATTTTCCTTTAATTTCACTTTTTTCCCTTTAATTATTTAATCGTAATAATATCGCTATCTTATCATTTTTTTTTTTTCTTAATTATTTATCTTTTATTAAGAACTATAACGGCGAGGCGCACCCCGAACTTGTGTTCATCGTATTTCTTTTTCTCACCCTCACCCTACCTCCCTCCCCACCACCACCCCCCCCTTCTTCCCTCTCCTTTTCTTTTTACTTTATACCCATTCGTATTATTATCTTCGTATCGTCATCCCTCTCGTGGATGTGAAGGAATTAAAAAAAAAAAAAAGAAAAATGTAAAAACAACAACAGGGCATCGAGTCATTTTCGTTTTACAATGTAAGAAAGGGGGAAAGCTCGGTATTTTTCTTTTTCTACCTTTCTTTTTTTGTTCTAGTTATTTTCCTATTTCTCCTCGTGTCCCTGTCTCTCTCTCTCTCTCTCTCTCTTTCTCTCTATTTCTCACGTTTTCGCAATATCGCACCCATTTTCTTCCTCCCTTTTTTCTTTTTTCTTTTTTTGTTCATTGCTCGCTTTTGTTCTTTCAACCTTCTATCGTTTACGTCCTTCGTTTACGGTTCTTTAAATTCCGATCCGACTTCTTGAAACTGCGGAAAGTCGTAACGGTTGCTACGCTCCTCCTTTTCGACTCTTAAAACGCGATTCTACGCGAGAGTTGAAACCTTTTTTACTATCTCCCTCCCCGTCCTATCTACCTCCTCGAGGTCTATTTTTCCCTTTTGTTCCAGTTTTCCTTCTATTCTATTTAAAGTAGAACGGAAATAGAGAAGAAATCCGACATCGAGGTTCTTAAGAAGGGAGAAGAATCCACAAATTTTTTCCTTCGACTTGCACAATTCTCAAATTTTCCGATATTCTTCTTTCCTAGTTTTAATTTTTTTTTTTTTTTGGTTTGTTTTTGTTTCGATCTTTTCTATCTTCTCGCGTTTCTACGTCGTTTTAAGGATCAAGGGAGTTACGAATGGCAGAAAAGTAGGTCTCCTTGCATTTTTAAACATTTCCAAAAACGAACCCGTGTGTGTGTGTGTGTGTTACACGTATTCGTTAACGTTCCAATGTGTTTACCTAATCTTACATCAATTTAATGATCACGAGCACCCCCACCTTCCCTTTCTCTCTCTTACGTACCAACGCAATTATCAACAAAATCCGAGTTTTCAATTTCGTGTGAATTTTTTGTTGTTATTTTTGTTGGGTCGTCTGCCTGTTCGTAACTTTTTTATATTTTTAATATGTTCTTCTTTTTTTTACTTTTTAGTTTCATGTACGTATTTACACGTACATATACATATATACAGATTCGTAATATACTATCGTCAAGTGTAAATGCATTTATGCATGTATCATCTCTATGTACGTATGTGTATATACACGTATGTACGTACACGTAACGCTATATCGTTTTTTGTTTTTTAAATGTTGCTTGGTTTTTTTCTTTTTTTCGTAAGAACATGTAATATACATGTACATATATATATATATATATATATGTATGTATATGTATTCATGTAGAAACGGCGTGTCGAGTTCGCGTCGTGTGTAATTTGTTTTTTTTTGGTTTCGTGCGCATAAGTGTAATTATACATACGTGTAAATGAGTCGCGCTTGCTTAACGTCTAAAATTATTATTTCAATTTTTATATCAATATATTTATATATATATATAATATGTATATATCTAACAACAATATATATATAATATATATATATAATATTATCATCATCATCGCCCCCCCCCCACCCACCAACCAAACCCTTTCTTTCTTTCCTTCTTCTACTTTCTCTCACTCTCCCTTTTCTTTTTTTTATCTTTTCATTATGCATATTCTTTTTTATGTATATATGTACGCGTTATCCCTTAACACATTCACACCGGATTTGTACCATCGGTGGCTCGTGTTAGACTGTCCCATCGGGCGACACGTACCACTGGTGGTCAGCACTAGATTTTTTCATCGGGCGTCGCCCTTTGTACCATCGATGGTACCACCTTGGTCCAGGTTTGAACAAGCAAAATTCACGTGCCGTCAGATGAGAAAGCGTACCATAGATTCAAACGCCGTCCTACAACGCAGGCAGACACTGAAAATCGGCGCCGTCGTGTGAATGTGTTAAATGTTATACAATATATATTATTAATTATGTTGAACAAAAAGAAACTCTCGTTTTGCGTGATTTTTTCCCAATACCAATAATAATTGAATTTTGCATTATTTTATTTGTTTATAGCCACTACGCGCTCGCTATTTTATTTATACAAGGGAATGTTACTTTTACTTTCTTTCTTTTTTTTCCACACCCTTTTTCCCGTATATAACCTTCAGTCTCGTGTTAAACTCTCCTCGTTACTCGCGTCTCCGAACCAACCACCACCATCACCACCACCAACCCCTGTTCCTTTCTCGGTCATTATTTCTATTTCTTTCTTTCTTTTTTTTTCTTTTTTTTATCCTAGTCGCGTTCGCGAATAAAATTCCGTTGTCCTTGTTTTCGTGCGAGCAAGAATTCGTGCGATTTTTATGAGCACGGCTAAATGTTCGAAAAGTTCAACGATGGTTTTTTTTTTTATTTTTTGAGAAAAATTCATTTTCATTCTCAATTTTTTGAAGAAACTTTGAACAATTCGCGAATGTGTGATATCGTTGGACAGTCGATTAGTGTGAAATCAAAGAAGAAATAAAATATTTAATAAAAAAAAAAAAAAAAAACACGCGAAGAATTAGAAGAAGAAGAAAACAAACAAAAAATTATTGTACCGTGCACACAGATTTTTTTTGTTCCTCTTCACCGAAAGCATTTTTCAAATCTCGCATTTGTTGTTGTTGTTATTATTATTATTATTTATTTTTTTTTGTTCTTCTAAGCACAGCGCATACACGTACGAATAAAAGGGACTTTCATCGTGTTTTTCTTTTTTTATTTTAATTTTTATTCTTTTTTTTTTTTTTTGTCGCTATTGTTCATTATTATTATTCTCATAATCAGCACACGAGCACGAGCACGAGCACGCGCGTCACTGATTTTTACGTTTTCCTTGGTCTTTTGTCGTATTTGTTGTTTTTTTTTTTTTTTTTTAACGTAAATAATACTCTTCATCGTCGTCGTTGTCGTCGTCATCATAGTCTTTCGCGTCAATGTATTATAATTTTCTTTTCTCATAATTTTTCTCATGTGTTGCGTGTGTGTGTTCGTTATTATTATTTATCATTACCATTATTATTATTATTATTATTATTATTATTATTATTAATAATATTAATATCATTTTTTTTTCTTTCCTTTTGGTTAAAGATTAGATGCATGAAAGAACACCGACAATATTTTCTATAATCGTATATATTTCACTTGTGTGCAAGTGTGTGTTGTGTCTCTCTGTGTGTTTGTATGCAGAATAAATAAGTGTGTATCGTTGTGTGCACGTCTCCTGATTTGTTTTTCTCTTTAATTTTCTTACTTTTCTTTTAGATTACAGGCCCATGCCAAAAAAAAATCGATGGTTCATTTGAAACACCAGGAAACCCATTTTATGGAAAGATGCAAGGGACATAAAATAATAACATTCAACAATATGTCGTCACTTGTAAGCTGTCCAACTGAGTGCAGGTGAGAATTCAAAAGCACAGGGGGGTACTTTTTTTGTACGGCATTCTTACCACCGATAGAACCATCGAAAATAATGAGTCACATGAGACACAAAGTTGGAACAAATTTTTTTGATTTTTCGTCGATTTACCGACGAGGTACAAAATCAAATGACCAAAAAGTACCTTCTCTACCTGTGCTTTTGAATTTTCACCTGCATTCAGTTGGACAGCTTACAAGTGACGACACAGTGCTGAATTTTATTATTTTATGCCCCTGCATCTTTCCATAAAATGGGTTTCCTGGTGTTTACAAATGAT